TGTATATAGATGTTATAGATGTCTCTGGAGAGGCCATCGCTGCCTCAAGAGATACAGGTGCCTCCGTCATCTTGGGGTTGGAGTTGCACTAGGGAATAAATAGCATGATGGGGGTGGGTGTCGGCGTGAGGGACCTCCGGAGCAAATTGTCTCTTTTGCCCTCATCTTCTCTATGGGCCTGCTATCAACTCCTTCGTGCAACTCCAATCCTAATATGGCGGGGTTTCCTGGAAGGACTCGCCGCCCCACTATATACTCTCTCCCCCGTGAGATAAGAAAAAGAACTGGAGGTGGCGCACAATAGAATTTATATGCTGCAACTAGAAGCCATCTTATTTGGGATCATGGCGGCTCTTCTTCAATCACTACAATGGGATTTTCATAATTTTCCTTCCCAGTATTCTTGCTGTCGTGAATATGATGGAAGGCAGTCATAGTACTGAAGGCCTAATAATTCAGGGGAAGTTTTATAGGACTCATAGTTGCATTGGCCTCAAAGGCGTATTTTACGGGGGGCAACCGCCCCCCTGGCGCCCCTTGGGAGGTAATAACTTTCTCTCCTGATATGGCTCGAGTGGGTTTGGGCGTCTCCACTATGTTGCCCTGCCCCCCTGACCTTTCAGCCAAAATACGCCTCAGTGGCGTATTTTGGCTGAAATAGGCCTGCTTAAAAGAACTCTTATTCCTTCGTGGGTGCGAGTCCTCAATTTCTCGAGTGAGCCCCAAGTTCCAGTACTGCCTTTGTAGAGGTTGCTGGGCCTATGAAGGGGATAACGTTACGCCGTCCTTACATCATCACAGTTCACCTATTTTACACCAGGTCTAAGGCATGAACATGACGAACGACGACTACGAGGTGCATAGTAGAGGTGTTGGCGGGTCTTGGCAGGGCATGCATCCGTATTCAGTAGGGCTGCTTCAATAATCTCGCGGGACCCGCTCCTTCATTCCGCCATTGCGCACAGCAGGCCGGCTTTAAACTCTATGGATCTCTTCGCACGTAAATCGCCGATCTTTTGCTAAGACCTATTCCCAATCGCCCTTTTCTGCCATTAACTTAAACTGAAGTTTTGAATCCATTTGCATTATAAAAATAAGTCTTGGAACGACTCCATGGGACCTACTGGTTCCTCTGAGAAGCTATTGTGACTGCTGTGTCGGGACTGTTTTCCCCGAGAGCTTGTATTTAGAGAGTTGTTTAGAAAAAACGGGGGAAATCCCACAGGAATGAAAGACGGCTGGGCGCCACGAGCCCAAAAAGTATGGCGTTCAATTGCAACGCGCATGTTATTGTTACTGCGGGTTCCTTATTGTTCCTACCGGTGCGCCATCTCCAGTTCTATTTCTTAGCTCAATGGCTCTCCCATAGCCAAAGTAACAGGTACACACAGTGTTGTCTAAGGCCACTAATGTTCGGAAACGTGCGCGGCGGGTTGCGATATAAGTAGGGTGAGGCAGCCAATAAAAGCCCACATACCACATTATCCTAGAAGGCAACGATTTAAGGTAACGCCTTGATCTTTGGGTTGCTCTTCGTCTTCCCCGTCCTTTGCCATGAAGATTAACGAAGCGCAGGAGCAGATCGAGAAATCAAGGGCGCTTTTGCCGCGTCTTGTCTTCTCACATGACCAAACAGTGGGCATGGGGGCTGGGTCGGGGAGGGGAGGGGGTGACCGCTTCCCTTGGCCACGTGCGTTTTCATTACCTTTAATACTTTCATGCTTTTGCACGGGATACCTACTAGTTCCTCTCTAATTATTTTTTGGGCAGAGAAAAGACCTGGATACAGTTGCGAACCGGACATGGATGATTGCATGAGGAACTCCACCTGCAGATCACCCTCAGGTGGGAATAATCCTACATGTGAATGCGATCCGGGATGCGTGGAGGATTGGGAAGATGGGGCAGACGTTTGCAGTGAGTTGGTATTCTTAAACTCTCTTGACTTTCGCTCGCCAGAATTTCTTTCCATAGGTAATCCTCTTTTCAATTATTTTAGAGAAGCACATCCTTTTCAGATTGAGTAAAGATAATAACGGCTATCTAGTCAAGTCACTTAATATTTTCGTGAGTTAGCTGGGAAGCGCAAAAGTGGAAGTATCAGGAACTTGATTCTTCACTTTTTTATTTTTGTGAATGAAAAAATGATTCAACTCCATATCTGTCTCATCCACATGACCATTCTTCTCCCTTTGGAGATTGCTAACGTAATAAAATAGTATTCAAACTGACGGCAAAGCGAAAAGAAACCCCCTCAATTCCTTTCCTACATAAGTCCTTAGTAATTTTTATACTGTAATTCACTCGCTAAGGTGAGGGTCATTCTATCTCAATCCATTCAAGAAAGGTATCCTCTTCAATTCTTCCAGTTTTTTGTTTCAGTGTTATGTCGTTGTAATATGAGTCTTTGCTATATATATTTACATTTATTTTAATGTGCAGTACGGACTTTCCTATTATTTTGTGGGGGACAGGACATACAGTATTTCCCAAGAGTGGGGTCCCTTGAAATACTGATATATGGAAAGTTTTGATACCGTTTTGATTATGGTATTTCAAATGGGAGACGAAGAAAATGCAAGAAACAATTTCATACCCTAAATGAGGGATTCCAAAACTGAGAATAGGCTTATGAAAATGTTTTTTCTTAATGAACAATTTGTCACAAACACTGAGCTTTCCACCTCTACATAGGAAAACAATACTTTCACTGGTATTTGAAAACTTCATTTTGAAATTGATGTGACCACAAAAATGTTGCCAAATCTCCAGTCTACATGCTTCGACTGCCAAAAGAAGATCAAGGGTTCTCCGTTCATGTTCACTGGAATGCTGCTGATACGAACTTAGTCCTTCTTTTTAGTTTACGAGTTTTGTATTTATTTAATACCAACTAATCACATTTGATTCAATCTACTGTTTCACCCTGATGCCTACATCGGATCGGTGTATCAGATTTGTGCATGTGTCCCAACTACCTGACACAGATGAACTGTTTGAACAAGTTGGCGAAGTCGAATTCGGAAGACGTAGTCTTGACGTGCTTTTGTAGTCAACCACTCCAGAACTGCGAAGTAGTTTGACAACGAATAAAAGAAAAATACGTCTCCCTCTTCCTTCATTCCCTAGGCGTCTAACAAATTTTCTCTTTACTACCTGACCGTGAAACTTTCATCGATTATTTTAGGCACTTTTGTACTTTCTAATTGCGATCCCGCGCATGGAACATGTCCATGTCATTCTTTTTCTCCATGTAGAGGTGTCGCCAGGAGGAAGTTGTTCGGAAACGAGCGAGTGCGTTGATAATGCGTTCTGCGATGAAACTACTGACCAGAAGCAATGTCAGTGCAAAACTGGACTCCTGGTCATTGGGGGATTCTGCAGTGAGTTAACATCTCCAACCATCCCAATAAATTCTATATCTGTAGATTGTCACTACCGCATTGATTCAGTGAGACAGACCACTCTGAGACTGAGTTATAAGATTACGTAGTCGTTTACTAGATTGTGACGTCCAACGACATAAATTATTTGCAATGCGACTTCACAATCTCCGATGCCATCTATGCTGTTATATCCCATGATGTTGATGGCGTTTTATGCTTCATCCAGTAATGCATTCTCTATAAGAGCTCGCGCATTACAGAGAGCACAAGTTCGTTTGTCAACCATTTGACGGACGCAAAGAACCAGGGGGATGAGATCTTTGTCGCCATTAGAGAATGGTAGAATTACCATGTGAAGGTGTTCAAGTTATTTTTGCCAGTTATTTTTTCTTGTAGAAAACTACGGTTGTGATGCTCAAATTCCTGAGACTCATGGACTGGATTGTCAATATGGTAAAATGAATAACCCCTAGGTAAAGATACCACGTGAGACTCATCTTTTGTGAGGAGAAAATATGGTTTCTTTCACCACGCGAAGGAATCGTGTAACGTCATCGCGACAGTATGGCGTTCGCCTTGGTGTTCTTTCCTGCTGTGTGTGTTCCGCTGAGAGTAACCCGGCGTGGACAATGAACCGTCCTCAGAGACCACAGACAGCCTCGAAAGATAATGTAACATGGCAATTAGGGTGGTTTTTGGACTGGTAACTTCACCGTCACCTTACCTGGTTACCTTACCCTCAAAATGTGTCTGTGTGACTTCGTGAAAGAGCTTTTGCTGCAGCGCAGAGGAGAGACGAAGTCACACGGACAAGTTTTGAAGGTAAGATAACCAGGTAAGATGACGGTGAAGTTACCAGTCCAAAAATCACCCTCACCCAAAATCACCTTCCGAGACAGTCTGTGCAGAGTCCCCCGGCAAACTCTGAGTACTCTGGGTAATCGTCCGCACATAGAGAATGAGGAGAGTTAATTACTAACGTGGTCGCTCCAGTCTATACGTGGTCTATACGTAGCATAGTAGTCGATGGAATTCCGTAATTCCTGATTACCGTTTGGCCGTACCTTCCGTAATTTAACGTTCGGCGAAACGCTACATTGGCATATTTAGGGCAAGGCGCAGTGTGATTCCACTCAGGCTTCTCTTTAAACTTTCACATAGTTCAATATTGGGCTAAGTCTAAGTCTTACGCCCAGGCTAAGGCCTATTAGACTGTTCTCCGCGGGTCGGCTAACGCCTCGCAACGATGACTGGCGAACAGTGGATGGGAAACTTTCGCGAGGACGGTTAGCCAACCGCACCAGACTGACTTTTAGCTGGACAGGTCTCATATTAGCATACCCAGTGGCTACTTGAGCCCATAATTCATCCAACGCAAAATAAAAGCTTCTAAAATCATAAAAGAAATGGTAAATAGGCCTGTCGTTTTGAATGGAGTTGACCCTCCCACAACTGCTACGTTACCACACTCTGTATATATATTTCGTTGTGCACTGACGACATTCGAAGGTTGGATTCACACACAGCACGTGTACGGTAAGGAAACAATGAAGAAACGGTGAAGCTACCGGTCCAAAAATCACCCTCAAATCCTAGTTATCTTACCATCCTGGGATGGTCATGTAACCATGCCCTGAGGGTGGTTTTTGGACTAGTAACTTCACCATTCCTTCTTTTCCTCACTGCTCTCTTTCTGTGCGTGTGGTAACCTTACCATGCCTGGGGAATGCATCTATACAGGCGCCATTTGGGGGCAATATAACAAGGCAAGGCAAGTGGATTTTGGAGAGGTACTTCACCGGCATCTTACCTTGTTATCTTACCAGAGGTCTGTCAATAAGTTCTCAGCCTCATCCACAAACGAAACACGCAAATATTTTACTTTATTACCAACATTTAATGTAATGAAAACCAGTACCAGAATGTTCCATGATCGTTTCCAGTGGGTCATTGGACATGATTTTCATTGCATTAAATATTGATAATTAAATATGTGTGCGCTTCTTTTATATTGAAGCTGAGAACTTATTGATGGACCTGGTACCTTCAAAAGGTGTCCATGTGTCTTCCTCTTTTCTCTATCCAGAAGGGGCAAAGTTAAAAGAGGTAATTTCATGTACTTTGGTAGCACTGGTGTTGAGAAAGAATGGAGGCATATGGGGTAGATTCCCTGACATTTATTACAAGGAGAACCTTGGATAACTTAGATTAAGAAGCACCCTACATGGTTTTGTGGGATACAGCCAAAGGAATAAATAATTTCTTTCCATATATGAAAACACTATTAGCAGGAAAACTAAGAAAGTCTGACTTCATGGATTATCTTCATTTCTAGATGCTGATCCAGGGATCATAATGAAAGGGAAGTAATTTCAGTATCCACAAAAACTCAGGTAGCACTAAAAATTTCTTGCACAACTGAAGAAAAACAACAAAATATTGCTGATAACCTGGAAAAATATTAACATTTTAGCATTTCAAAAAATAAATGAACAAAGCTTTTCTTTTCATTTCTTGAACAGCTATTTACTTCACAGTAACTCTGAACTTCAAGAGCAAGAGGATCACCACCTATAACTTACAGATTTTTATTATATTTTGGATGATTCGCTTCTTTGGCAAAATTTTTGTGTGGTTGATCCCACAAAGTCTTTCAACAACAACAAAAAGTGTGGAAGCTTTGCTTCTTCCATCAGCTAGCTTCCGATATTCAATTCCAAAAATGAAATACACAGCCATTAAAACAGCAACAGCTTCCATGGCACTTTCAGTGAGAAGACGCATCCCTTCCACCCACACTTGCCAGGTTGGCTTGCCACCAGTGTAAGCAGCCACAGGAGCAGGATCAAGGTCTCTTCCTTGATAATATAAAATGTTCATACTATTATAATAATAGACAAAGGAACGAGAATATTGGCTACTATGAAATGAGAATTAACTCACAGTAGTGGTGTCGGAGCACCACAGAAGTTCTTCCGACTCTCCAAGTAAGCACAACAGAAGAATATCTGGAGAGACATCTGAAAGCAAATGAAAAGAACTCATTTAGCATAATAGGGATGATGGATAGCATGCCTCCTATCCTTTACATCAATGGCATTAACCATTTCAATGCTACAATCCAATTATCTGGTTTCTTTTAACAAGAAAACAACCTCACTAAATATGCAAATGAGCTATGAATTTTAACTTTACTTGGACAACTAATTGGTTGGCACAGTTACCATTAAGTATACATTGTTTGAGAATCTCCCCCCTTGGGAAAATTGCCTTGTCAAAAAAATATTGGGTAAAATATGCATGAAATAATGAGACAGTATATAGGGTTCCATGTCCAATTGAGCCATGGATCAGAAAAGGATTAAAGAAAAACTTGAACAAGCTCTAGTCAAAGACAAGCTGCAGTTTGATAGTAGAGGCAACATTTACTAAATAATTGGTGAAATTTATTTTGCAGTAGTTCACAAGGGTTGAGTTTCTCAAACCTGGGTGTTATATATGTTGTGTACAGCTAGTTCCAAAATCAAGCAATGCCACCATATGAGGAGTCTCATGAAAAGATGAAGCATCCCAAGGGAGAAATGCTGTTTACCTTCTATGAGAGATATGACATTCATTTGCTGGGTGGGTAGGTACTGTAGAAGTAACTCCTGGTTACCCAAGAGGTTATTTCTCAATGCCTGTTTCAAGCAGTTTCCTGCCTGTGTAACTCTTCCATACTCTCGCAGCATCTATCATGAAGGAGTTTGACACATTACATGTATCTATTGAAGGTATGCAATGTGGATGGGAAGTAAAGCAGGCCTCATAACACAAACGTTTCATTGAAAGTTTTTGGATGCAGCTTGAAGGTGCCTCCTCTTAGGCAGAGAATTTAGCTTCCAGTAAAGATCATCAGTACAAGTCTATGAACAACTTTCAGAATTCCTTGGCTTAAACAACATTCATAATTGTTTATACCTTCATGCTCAGGGATGATCTAGATTCAAGTTGAATTTGTCATGCAAACAACTTCAGAGCAATGTTTTTCAATGACTTTGAAAGTGGACCCAGTACAGAGTAGGGTCTGGAATGTCTACAAAAGGGCTTTGGAAAGGAAGCACCACCTCTTAGTACTGTGCTTGAGTGATTCTCAAAGTTCCAACATTTCTCATAGGAGAAGGGAGTCCTTGAAGGATGGGCCTCACTCTGACCAGCCACCAATTGCAGTGGCAAATAAAAATGTGGCCATTATATAGAAAATGGTTGAAGAGAATGATTTAATTACATATTGGGAAATTCAGGGAAATGGGGTTGATCAGCAGCAATGAACAACATCCTGCACAGAGCTTGGTCTGAGGAGGGTCACCAACCAATGGAACCCTCATGATCTCACCCAAGTTAAAAGGATGCCAGTGTGAAAAGATGCAAAGTCATGCTCACTCACCCACAATTCAATATGCCATACTTCAGTTTTTCCTGGCATGGGTCTCTACTGATTACAAATCAAGCAGCATTATGCTTACTGCAATATTGGAAGGAATTTTACTTAGTTTCCAGGCCTTGCAAGCCAGGCTAAATGATGTTCATGAACTAAATCACATGCCCAATCCAGACTTAAGGGAACTAGTAATGAAAAGCATATGCGCTTGGTCCATATAGGGTATAGGCTAGGCAACCTGGAATTCCTTCCACCGTACTGGGTCATCTACTATACTGCCCTCAAAAAATTCAACACTTCTTTGGGAGCGAAATTCTTGCCACTATAGCATCATCTGTGAACATTTTTATTTCCTCAGACAGCTTAATCTGTCACTTTTACAAAGCAACCACTCCTGTCACGATCCACCTTTTGTCCAAAACTTGACTCTGAATTTGTCCTGTTCAATTTTTCAATATGGAACAATTAAAATTGCCTCTTGTATGCCATGTGGAAAACATGTTTCTCTATTACCCTTGACTAACGTTAGGTCTAAGCTTAAATGACAGACTGGCATCGGGTCGGGCCTAGGCCTACCTTCATTCGTTCAAACGAAATTCAATCCTCGACTTACTTTAATTAGGCCTAAGGATGAATCCTTCGTCTGCCAAACACTTACACGACGTGTCAAGTTAGGTCAATCGCAGGCCAACGCAGTCTCTCACGATCCATTTCAAAGGACGATTAAACCGATTAGAGGCCTGTATCGAGTTTCATGACCAATATCAGGGCGGACATAGAACATAAGGCATATCTAAAGTTCCCCGAATCATCTCGACTAGTTCAGAAGAAAGAATGCATCTAGGAAGCATGACATACACGCCGGGTGCCATCATTAATTCAGGGATGTCCGGATAAGATATATCCATATCCCACCACAACAATCGCCCACTGCTTAGCATCGTTTCAATCTCAGCTCATTTCATGAAATCAGCACTAAGATAGATCATTCATTAAAAAGATGAATATTCAGATAAGAAACTCAGGATTCATGGCTAAGAAGTCATGACATTGAAGTAATTCTGGTATGATATCCGGCAACACTGGGGACAGGACTGGAGCCATCGCTTAAAGAATAAATGAATGACAGCTATTTTCATTTCTTATGGCGAATTGGTGCACCACAAACAGCAAAAAACCACTTTCTGCAACCTACAAGTCAACATCTTTCTTTTTGTTCTCTTTCCTTCGACATCTCCTCAGGAATTACTACCCAAAGGGGTAGTAAAAACCAGAGTGAAATTCACATCTTTGCAAAATAACGTTTATTGATCTCCACAATCTCGGGGGTTGAATATTCAAATTTTCTGTAGCGGTTCTGTGTCGAGAGAGGAAAAAGGAAGCAAAATTTGGGTGCTTTTCATTTTTAGAGATGAGTGCGAGAAGGTTGAAATTTTCTACGGTTAAGGGGTTGAAGAAAGGTAATAGGCGCTACAGCGCCTGCAGATAATTATCACGAATTCGAATTTCTGGAGAGACACCTGCCGTGTCCTCTCCAGCGCAGTTAATTGCCCTAAGGATGTGAGGCCTCTCCCCCTTCCACTTTTCAATTATTAATTTTGCCTCCAGATGTAGGGTGACGGAGCTTCTCCCACATTAATTAGCTCAAGTGTTTGCGGTAGACTCGGATTTGTAAATTAGCAAACATGCTGCCATTATTTTCCAAATTGCTGCAGCAGTGCTAGCGTCACTCTCCTGGTTAAGTCACAAGGGCAAGTTAATTGAGTGCTCTTTGCACAGTAAGCAAACCATGCTTGGTACCCACTTAGAATGAGCCTCAAATGGTATTTCTACCAAGAGGTTAGTAAGGTTACGAATTTGAACTTTCATCAGGTGAATCTCGGGAATCCATGAACAGTCGGAAAGGAATTTTTACCGTGTCAATGGTAATATGACCATTCCTGAATGATGACTCTACCATGCAGCACTTCAGAAGACGGTAATATTACCTAATTGGAAAGAAAAAAAACAGCACGCATGGTTACTTTACTGTGATGTCTTGGTAACCAGACCGACTTGTGCTGTGTGTGTTAGGAGGGAAAAGGCTGAGGTAATTAGTCCAAAATCCACCATCATTGCCTTGTTACATTACAATCTTTGGATTGCCATCTGGCCATCCCATCGCAGTGGAGTTACGATGGAGACCCAGCTCAAATATCTTCATGGTAACTTTACCGCCTTTTGATGGTTACATGACTATCGAAGGACAGCAATGTAGTAAAGCAATGATGGTGGATTTTGGACTATTTACTTTACTCTTTTCCCCTTGTTACTTTAGCTTCGAAGGTTTGGTGAAGGTATATCCGTTCCGTAGCAAGCCTTTAGAAGGGGTTATATGCCTCAGAAATAACTAGGTTGTTGATGGATATGGTCTCATAATATATTAACCTCGGTGTAAAATAATCTTATTTTATATAAGAGTTTACTTGCCTTTAAAGTCAAGAAAGGGATATCTATCCCTAAATCTCATGGAAGAGCGTCCATCATTACTTGGAATGCACGAAATTGGGAGAGGATCTCACATTTTCGTCGGAGTTAGAAGTACAACACTTACTTTCCTTTCAATCTGTTTCCAACCTTGTATGATCGCTCCTTTCATGAACGATCGACCGGGAATATGAGAACAGCTTCGTTCTGTTTGCATCGTTAATTGCAATGAAGACTTATTTATTCGCAGTTAGCGTGTATTAGTCATGTTACCCTGTTTTTTTTGCAGGAAGTTGCGGTGTGATGGAGAGGATTTCCGCTGTCATCCTCATCATCGCCTCTATGTCCATCGCCTTCTCCCAATAAACCTATGCTTTCTTACTCACATGCTCCCAGTAATGTATCACCTTCCATATACACACCCCATGCTCCAGTTCAGTTATTCCATTTTCCATATTGCACTACTTCCAATGAAATAATAGAAATGCAAGTTATGGCTCTCTACGTACAATTATTTTGTAAGTCGCGCAAAAATTCATCCCATATTCGGAAGCCACCCTACAGATTCCAGTAACGAGATCCACTTTCCTTTTTTAAGCGTGAATTTTTGCGCGAAATTCAATACCTGCAATGCACACAAGCGTTTAAAAAAAAGTCAACTTAACCAGAATCACCATTTTTCAGAAAGGAATTGCATTTCTTCCTGAGACACATGGCTAAAATCCAACAGTCATAGCATCGTGTTCTATAATTTGAGCATGTGCTCTTGACCACTGCAACCAACGATTCAACAAGAGTGCGGAAACTGTAGGTCATTTTGGCTTAATAAAGACGTTAGACATGCGAAAAGCAATTTCTGTGTCATGAGGTTTGTGTATCTGTTGAGCATCGAATTTATACTTGAAATGGGACCAGTAATAATCTGCAGGAATTTCCTATAAAATCAAGTTTTGAATTCTTCGCCAATGTAATCGTCAGCGCATTTGCTGGTTTTCTGCTTCAAAAAATTCTGGGTAATTGCAAATGTAGCAAATGAATCTGAACACTCGACAAAGAGATGGGGAAATTGATGAAACTAGACTTATTAGCCCGAGATAAAAGATATGCATATGACTGGAAAAAGTGGAGATGAACAAAAGGAACTCCTGTTCCTGTAAAACCAGACAGCATGGAGGGGCACTTGTCTTATTTCCCACTGGTTCCCGTTGGTAGTAGATGCTGTTTCAATATGCACTGGACGGCTACCTCCTTCGTCCCATGTTCCAGCCTGAAAAGGCAAAGTTGCAGATGAAATGCAGTACATAGAGGACTATTTAGTGCACAGAAAATTATGCGTGCAAAGTTGCAGAGTATTGCCGAAATCTTCCTCAGCAGGCAATACTTACTTGGTGCTTTCGCTTGATGCAAGATTGTAGATATTATGAGAAGCTTGGAGTACCATTTGGCAATCACTGAGTGGTGCTCCTGAGGCCTTACAGCCCTCACTAAATGTGAGACTGAGGGATTAAAATAAGTAAACATCACCTTCCCGGTAGGTGATGTTTACTTTTTTTAGTTTACCCTTTTTAGAAGTACCATCAGAACGTCGGCGTCAACTCGTTCGTGAATCCGATTTTTCTCCCGAAATTTGGATATGGGACTGTCAAGACTGCAAGTACGTACCGGCAATGTGGAGAAAAACTCTCTGAGTTACTTGCCTTTCCGGTGAGGACTATTTAGACGAATTCGTTTCCATTGCAGATTACGTGGACAACTTCATCAAAAGCAAGACACCAGGAGCCCAGTGGTGTCCAGCGCCTTGAGTCTCTCGTTCCAGGCCGTCGAGAGTGTTTTCATTGTACCTTTCAAGTTCTTGGTCTGAGGCTTCACAATTTCTTCTCTCCACGCAATCCATGCCTTTCTTCGTCTTATTCCTGAGAGAGCATTCTAGCAATGAACCACCTGCGAGGAATGTCCTTCGCACAGCCCTCCTCTATAGTCTGCAAATAAATCCGCACATTTTTTCCGAATTGCTGCGTCCATTTCCAATGGCATACAGACGAATGGACGCAACGAACAGAAACCGCATAACTGTCGTAGCGATGGACGCGAGTTTCTTCTGGGCCTCCGCAGGTGTTGCCAAATGGGAATTATTACCGGTTCAGATTTATTTCCAATTTTCTCGGGAGGATAGTCAATCAAATTTTGCACATTACGTTTTTAATTTTTTGTGGAGTTGATCTGGAGTTGGATATTTGAGGAGTTGAGCTGTCAGCTTAAACAACAATCTCCTCACGAATAAGTTTTTATTGCTTTCACTGAATGACAAAAAGTAATTGTCTTGTTGGTACATAGTTGTCTCTGGAATTGCTTCACTACGAAAGACCATATACTAAGTTTTCTGCAACCGCGACGCTCGTGGGGACACAGCTGGCAGGTTCCAGGTCCAGGTCCAGGTCCAGGTCCAGGTGAAATCCGTTCGTTGTGTGACTTGCTGCGTCCATTTCATGGATTCATTTAATTATGTTTCGATTTGAAAACGAATGGCATCAGGATTTATTTTCATGACGACGCATTCAGCGAATATCTCTGGATACCCTGTAATTCCATATGGACAACGGGCAGCATTCAGCTGCGCTAGGAAGAAGCGATTCCAATCAAATTCAAATCCATTTTATTTTTTACGAATTCCACATGGCGTAATAAATTCCTTTCTCGCGTTCTCCTGGCGCTTGTCATCTCTGGGGCAAAACGACCGATGGTCAATCGTGACGGCGGCAATTCAAGGGTGACAATGAGATCTGGGCCCATGGGAAGAGCAATTCTTGATTGAGGCCAAGTCAAGTGCTCAATTATGGATTACATGATAATGATAATTGCGATTACATGATAATGACTTTGGAGAAATAGTCCCGTCCCGAAGTGCTACGGGATCCAGCCTCGAGGAGGACTTTTGATTCATTATGTTCAATCTCAATGAATTTTTCAGATTTCTCAGACGCGGGATCTTCACGCAATATCGATTGAGCTGGAATTTTGTCAAAAATGGAGTCTAGAATCGCGGGGAATCAGCTGGAAGAACATGGGAATTTCTTGTTATTCGGGGGCATGAACAGAATCCATGGGAAAATGGGAAAAGCGCCCCAACATCTACGAAATCCTGGAAAATCTCAACTCGCGATGACCCAAAAGTTACCAATCGGTCTCGCTTGAATGAAATCGGATGAGGAAAAGTCGATGCTTAAATAGACCAAGGTGGAGCCATGATCGCGTCGCCGCGACGGAACGCGACTCGCCGTTCCCCTTCGACTGCGCGAAAAAGCCCCGCCGCTGATCGCTTTGTCCGTCGCAGCAAGACCGTTCCGTAAACGCGTGGGAGAATCCAGACGGGCCGGTCCGTCGACAGACTGTTCTGCGACGTAGTTCTGACCTTTATGCGACACTTTGAATTTCATGTCCGTGTGTCTTCATGGCATCCGGCTCGCGTGACATCGCCTGTGAGATCCGAGAAGCTGATATGCAGATCGTCGTATACCGTGAAGACTATTCAGGCAATATTGATACGACTGCAGGGAATTTAAATTCCCCGAAATCAAATGGCATTTGAATCGAGTTGCTCGTGCATGGAGGGCTCTGGGCTCTGTGACGTCATCAGAATGACCTCGTGCTTTCATTCTTCCTCTTTGTGAACGGATCTGGTGGACGAAGCGGACGTGGCGCACTCGGTGGTTCGGCCTGAGTCATTCATGAGGCGAAAGTGAAGATGCGACCGAGCCACGTCTGCCGGGGATGGAGGGGATTTAAATGCAGGACGCGACTGTCGGTCGAGATTCCGGGAAGCCGGAACGGCCCGTGCGCATGATGGGGTTCACCTTTGGGGTTCATTCGCTTCTAAAATGTCAAAATTTCGGGGTATAAATTCTCCGGCACGCTCCGATGTTTCAGTCAGACTTTTTTTTCCCGAGATGGATCCAGTCAAGATTGCCGCCTTGCTTCTCTTTTCCGCCCGCCTTCAGGTACCTTCGCTGCATTCACTCTCGTCTGGAAAAGTTCCACTGGAATGGCTGCGTCGTGCGTTCACATTTCCTTTCTTGAGATAGGGCGGCCAGGAGATCGAGGTCGACGTCGGAGAAGAATTTCAGTCTTCGGAGTCTTCCCCAGACAATTCCACCGAAATCATCACGACGATTTACTTGGACTTCGAGGGATTCGGAGCCGCAGAGGATCCTCCCCCGTGCCGGGCCACCCGGGCCCTCTCGACGGGGCAGGGCTCACCACTCCTCAGCCCCAACTTCCCCGGCTTTTCCCCGACCGGACTCGATTGCATCTGGGAGTTCAGCGTGAGTTCTTCGGACTTGATTTATGCTTCTCTAGTCCTCTCAGATTGGGAAAGGCGTTTATGAACTGATGAGCTCTGTAATGAAATTCAGGCATTTTTTCTGCGGGGGGGGGGGGGGGTTGGAGATAATGAGATTTAGAATTTTAGCTATTTCCAATCGTGCGTCGTTGACCATATGATGAATGGTTTTTGGTCTAGTGCCCGGTGAACATGACCCTCCAGTGCTCCACCTTCCAACTTCCTTCCACTTTCCTCTGCTGGGAGTCCTACGTCACATACAACGGGATTAGGTATGGTGGCCGGAGCTCTCAAAATTATCATCGCGTCTTCCTTGAGTGACACGTCCGGTCTCTCGCAGGGTGTGTGAGTCCTCGGAGCTTCGGAGCCCGGTGAACGTGGGGAAGAACCTCCAGGTGGAATTTTCCAGCCAAGTTGCAGTCGGTTTCAACTGCACTGTCAATTGCGGTAAAGTCAACGCTCTCGCTTCCAGACCTAGGCTTAATCGATTAACGGCTAAACTTCGAAATGCATAGGGTCTATCTTTCCTCTCCAGTGGAAATATGGAAGTGTTTGTGCTTGTACTTACTTCAGCATGCGACACTAGCGTGTCGACTGGTTTTTCTTCTCTAAGTATCCTGAAAAATTATTGACCACTAAAAATGTGAACCAGGAAAAATGTGAAAATTCAGCGTATTGCAGATCTATGCCTATCATCAGCAAGGCTGTGCAAAACAAGCGCTCGGATATTTTCAAGCATTGGAAACCTATAAGGGGAGGGAGCAAGGCGCGTGCATAGTTCCCGACGCTTCGTTGCAGCCTATGTTGCCGTGGACTGTTCGTTACGGACACGAAGTCGCATGCACCTTTGGTCGCAGTACACTTTCGTCGCAGACGCCGATCGTCGCACTTTCCTTGTCGCGAGGGCATTGCAGGGCCTGGAATGATTTCAAATGATGGCGCCTCAACCGAAGTCTCGGGAGTCCGCACTATCGGACTCCCGAGACGAAAGCTGTAAATTAATAATTGAAAAAAGAGCAGATAACTCAGTCTGAAATGAAGATTTTAGTCACTCTTTTGTGTATGCCACACCCGATTACCCTTACGCGTTTCCACCTAACCTTCGTATGCTATCTCCTTGTTACTCTGTGTCTCTACAATGAAAATTTACTCTACCTTGTGCAGTTTTCTATCCTTGTAGATATTTTGACGCATTCCAGTGCGACGCACATGGAAACTCAAGTACTCAGACACCTCTCAGACTCAGACTCAGACTCAGACTCAGACAATTCAAGTACTCAGACACAATGAATATTGAAGGACAGAAATAAACCCCGTCCGTTCCCTTTCCCAACTGATAGCCATTGGGAACTCCGACCTTCAATTCCTTATTTATTCAGCAGACCCTTGTCGCCAGGCAATTGCCCAGCTGTGCATGTGCGACGGTCCGCGTCTGCTACGAAACAACGCAGCGACGAAACGAACTTGTGGCGTGTCGGCTGCGACGAAAGTGCCGGCAGCAGATTGGCGACGAGGCGAAATTTTGCAAGGCCTGAGTAGTCCATAACAAAGACTCACGTTTCATCCTTAGTCCTACCAAGAAATTTCAGGACGAACCACTGATCCGATTATACGAAACTGCAGCAACAAATAATTTGCTTTTAAGCTCTACATTTTTGCCTTGCAATGCAGGAAAAATAATAATTTGGTGCTGCATTAAGTTATGAATTCAAGACATAAGAAGAGGGACTTCATACAACAATGTGATGTTCCTCGCTCACTAAATCAATAAAATGTCCCAAAATCGGTTATTTCATTGTTTTCTTTGAAAATGCATTGGCCCTATTTCGTCACTTGAATTCCAGTAAATACTAAAATATTGTAATGGGAATGCTTGCAACTGAAGTCTCATCATGCACGTCAAGCACTAGGATTTTGGTGACAATTCCTCCTGGAAATGAAAATCGCGCAATATTAACAGGAAATGAAGAGAGCCACAACTGGAGAAAAATGCGTGAGACCCAAATTAGATTTCGATGGAATTACTCCATGTTAATCGCGTACATTCGTCTTTTACACATTTATGATCACGTTTCCTTCACCCTTTCTCAGTTATCTTTCAAATCTAATTTGTTCCTTCCTGCAATATGAAGTTGGAAGGCGTCGAGGATGGATCTTCGACATTCAGTAATGAAAGAGGGGTATGATTTCTCAAGTCGTTAATTTCTTTTTCAGGCAGGGTTCCTGCACCGACGTCTCCAGCCCCCTGCAGTGAGTTTGGGAATCTGGAGCAATTAATTAGGACCTTAAACTGTTCGGTCGTTACACCGTGAGAGTCCTCGATTTGTTGCCAGGATGCGGTATCCCTCAAATCAGCAATACGACCTCGGATCCTACAAGAAACCTGACGCAGCCCGGCTCCGACCGAATCCTTGGAGGATCTGGAGTTCCAGTTCAGAGGAGGTATCCCTGGATGGCATGGATCGGGGCCTTTCCCTATCGGGTGTCATATTGCGGGGGGTCCCTCATCAACGACCGGTATGTCCTCACGGCTGCCAGCTGCATCGACCCGAGGTCAGTTTCGTTCTCCTATGCCCACGGGATTCCTGACTCTAATGGTCTATACCTAAAAAAAAAAAAATGTTTCTTCCCATTAGCTACCAAACCTACTTCGTGACTCTAGGAGACTTCAATAGGTCAACGTGGTCCGACAGTCATTCCATCCAGATTCCAGCCTCACCCATCGTTCATCCTCAGTATAACTCGAGCGACCGAAACAACGACATCGCACTACTGAAACTCAAGACCCCGGTGGACTTCAAGGCCTTCTCGCATATCCGTCCCGTATGTCTCTCTTCCAGTGGTATTCCCACACCGGGACAATTTGTCACAATTGCCGGCTGGAGTGGCATCGGTGTCAACCGTGAGTCAACTTCGAAATGCTTATCAGCAACTCGCAGCAGGACTTCTTAAGTTCTGATCATGTTATAGATGGAACTCCCGAGAATAAGCTGAAGGTGGCTAAGATGAGAGTGGTCAGTCAGGAGACCTGCAAGGTTTCTTATCCGGTCCACGGCACGAACAACACCATCTGTGTTCAGCCTGTCGCTGAGAACTCATGCAAAGTAAGCCTCGAGACGGAAGACGTGAGAAACTCATTTAATACCCGAAGATGCTAACCGACATTTTTTAAAGGGTGATTTTGGAGGACCGCTGGTGTACCGAACTCCAGCCGGATACTACCAGAATGTCGGCATCAACTCCTATACGAAAACAGGGTGTCTTCCGAACTCGGGAATCATGGCCACGAAGACGGCAAGTGAGTGTCCGCAAATGGCAAACCAACTCCCATATGCTCTCTTTGGTAGTGGGTCATTCTGTCGAGTCCGTTTCCATTGCAGATTACGTGGACAACTTCATCAAGGACAACACCCAAGATGCTCAATGGTGCCCGACGGGTTGATTCCTTCCTCGCAGGCTTCTGAGAGTGCCTTCACGTTGTGACCTCGAGCTGGAAGGCCCTCCATTCGTGCATCCCTCTTGAATTTTTTTTTCTGGAAGCGACATGTTATACAATTGGAGGAAATTGTTCGTTAGGAAATTGAACGACCAGCGTGGTCACTCGGGCACAACGCTTCCTTTCTTCTTACAATGAAATCCTTGTGGTACTTTCGAAAACTGAGTTTGTTTCCTACACTTACGCCCTTTTCCCCGTTTCCACGTGACCACGGTATCGATCCATCGATGAGATTGATTTCGAGACCTTTCGACGAACTGAAATATCCGACTGCAGGCGAGAAATTCAAGGAGCTCAGTTTCCCGTCCACGACCGGAGAGGAGACAGCTGATCATTTTCCGGCAGAACTTCCACTGGATTGTCATTTAAAGCGTCGCTGATGGCGTTCCTCGAATTTCCCTGAAAGGGAATTCGAGTCCACAGTCAAGAACGACCTCTGAGAATGTTTTTGCGGTCGTTGCCAAATGTTATGGTTTTGGGTCGTCGTCTCCAGGTTAATTTTCCACGAGTTATTCAAGAAAGTCCACCCTCCATGTTCTCAAAACTCGAAAATGCAGAAAATGGAAATTCTCCGATGTGTGAGTTGGAGTGAGTCAACCGTCGGGAACAAGCTTGGGTTTTTCTTCAGAGAATTTCTCACTTCACCTTGAAAAGCACCATTTTCCGAGTTTTATCAGGAAATACGAAGTTCCTCTGGCCTTTCCAGACGGTACAGATGGTATTATGCTATTACTTCATGGCAAATCTTGAAATGTCGTCCTCCTCGGAAGAATCTCTTCGATGAAAGGCGGAAAATCTGTATCAATTGCATCCTCAGAGGCTACAATTGAATAATTGGCAATTGACAATTGGAGAAAAAGGCCCAACACGAAATTGAAAGCATTAAAGCGCGACACCGTTCGGAAGAAAAATGCAGAAAGTAACTTCCTCAAATAATTTTTGCACGGAAAGTCCCCAATTTGACCACATGCTAAAATTAACCCTTGTCATTCATTAAGTGCTGCTACAATTCTGAGCCAAAACACAGTCTGGAACGTCCGCCATTAAAGTTCGTGCAGAAAAATGAAGGAACAGTTCCCGAGGCCTTAATCGACATATAGCTCCGAGTCTTCGATTTTTTTTTTCATTTTCCTCGAGGAAAAGGCCCCGGACGTGGTGACGCCGCGGGAAGACGCCGTGCGAAATTGAGAACTCTGGTTGCGCCGGTCGAGTTCCCGTCCAGAAATAAAATTGATGGACTCGTTTATGGGGCACCGAGTTCATGGTTTCAAACGGCATGCTTAGCATGTCGCACAAGAACGCAATTTTGGGTAGAGAAACTACAAATGACTTTTCTGCCGTTCACATCGTCGCTTGTGGGGAAATGACAGATACTGCGATCTGTTTCTCACTCTTAATTTTTTTCTACTTCACGCGTCTGCAGTTGCCAAAACAGCCGTAATGTTGTTCTCACCTCAACGCGCAAGCGCATTCCTCAGCCTGGGCCGGAGTGCCAGACGCCGACTGCGACTGCCAGTTCTCTTCCAGCTCTCGCGGTTGAAGGGTCCACAGTGCGCGATGGGACGGAGTGTCAGCTGGGTGCAGCGCAGACAGGGTTGCTGGCTCTGGAGATGCCGCATATGACAACCCTACTCGCTGGTCCGTCTCCAAATTAGTACCGTTGCAATGTGCGATACCGATAATCTATGTTCCGTGCCAGTCGCTGCCTAGGCACGATCGGTTGCATGTTCTTTTTTCATTCCATTATTTCTCATTTGCCGTAAAAACCTATTGTGTGGGTGATAACGTACACCTCTATGATACAGTCTCTTGAGAACGAATTAGCCTTCATCTGGTTGGTAGTAACTAGCAGAAATGTAGTGGCTGAAGTCGCCAGTGTGAGTGGGAGTGGAGGGCATTAGATGCAGGAAGCAGTTGAGTCCGTCGGTGGAGGTTTTTTTCCGAGAAGTCTGTATAGTGCTTTGGGACTGTCCATCCGGGACGAATTTCAGGGAAGGAATCTTGGCCGATTTGAATGTGAAATTCCAGGTGCGTTCGGGGAATCGGTCCCGTGCACATGATGCTGACCTACAAGAGTTTTTATTTCCGAAATGCCGGGATACGAGGTACAAAATCCCCAGCCTGCTTGGATTTAAAAAATCAGCCTTGCTTAGTGCTGGGATGGATCCGGCCGAGAACGCAGCTTTGCTTCTGCTTTGCGCCCGTGTCCAGGTGCGTTCATTGTCTTCGCTCTGTGCGAGAAGATACTTGGATTATTTTCCCGCATTTCGTTGTATTTTCCTATTTATTATTTCGGATAGGATGGGTATGAGGCTCAAGTCGAAGATCTGCAAGCACTGCCGTCTTCTCGAGGTAATCGGTATTTTCCTCGGAGGTTTTCTCGTACTTGGGTATTGAATGATTCCGAATTGTAGATTTTCGGTCCCCTCCCCCATGCGGGGCGACCCGGCCCCTCTCGACGGGGCTGGGCTCCCCGCTCCTCAGTCCCGACTTTCCTGGCTTTTCCCTGCCTGGATTCGGTTGCGCCTGGGAGTTCAGCAGGAGTTCCGCGTTTTTGTTAGACGGCCTGCTTCCTACTAGTTCTGGAGAGCTCGAAAAAATACAAAATAATGCTAGGACTTGATTTAGGCATTTTTAATCTTCTAAAACAGAGAAGAAGTGATCACGATATGATAAGCACTGATATGCCATTTCGAAAATTTTCGAGGGGGCCGAGCATTCACCTTTTTCTTGACTGCAGAACAGAAGTTGAGGAATTCTTTAATTGTGGTTCTTCAGTTTAAGAAAATGTCGAGTTCTTCTTCTCTTACCAAATTTGCTCATTCGCCCTTTTGGGGTGTTGTCGAGATCTTGATATCGCATGCTTTCCTCCAGGAAGCATGGTGATCAACTTGGCATTGTCCTCGTATTCACACTCGTCCGAGAGCCTTCGAAATGTCATCCATGTGACAATTCAAATGCTTTGAAAGTGTCGTCCAAATAAAATTTTCAAAGGGCGGAGGAAAAAATCACATGGGAAATTCTTGGAAGGAATGATATGGCTTCCTTGGTGCATGACCCGGACGGTTGATTGGCATTTCATCATCCACATTCGGCAACATGATGCTCATGCAAGTTTTTCGAAAGATGGGAATAATATCATGAGCGATATTTTAGATGTATTTAATCAGGGATTGCACAAAAAAAAAACAAATATGAGAACGACGACACAGGTGATTTTTCTAAGTTGGATACTTAAGAAGTTCAGAATTGCCTAAAACTTATTTAAGTTGCATTAAGTTATTACAAATCAACAAGACTGAAATGCGTATGAAAAGAAATATGCGTGGAGCACGACGTAATAAGTCAGATCGGATCAGACTACGTGGACTTCTTCATCAAGGACAACACCCAGGATGCCCAATGGTGCCCGGCTTCTTGATTCCTTCCTTCCAGGATTCCGAGTGCCTGGACGCCCTTCCGACCTTGAGCTCGAATGTCCACGTTTCGTGCATCCCTTCGCATTCATTCGTTGCTTGGAGACGACATGGTGAAAATGGATGGCATGGAGACGACATGGTGAAAATGGATGGCATGGAGACGACATGGACCCTGCTTCCTACTAGTTCTGAATGAAATCCTTCCAGTTCTCTCGCGCTCCGAGTTCGTTTCCTACACTTGTGACCTATCCCGTTTGCAAGCGACCTATCGATCCGTTGATGCGATTGATAACGATGAACTTCGATGAACTGCTGACTGATGGAAGCCGGCTGCCGAAGAAGTGGGAAATCCAACGAGGTCCCGTTCCCATCAGATTCCAAGATTGGAGAGAAGGAGAAATAAATTTTCCAACGGGCCAAATAAATTTTCCATGATCTTCGCTTCAGTTGCTGGAGACATCCAAAGCATCCGATCAAGCTCGGAGCATTTCTCCGTCTTGTTCCCTGCGAAACGAGAACTCCATCCGCCCGTAGTGTGTTGCACGTTCGTATGAAGCCCAAAGGCGTTTTGTCCATTTTTTTTTCTTATGGGGTGGCAGTCTCTCGGTTGATTTCCTGAGATCCGAAAGAAATGCCATCTTGGGATATCCATGCGCAAACACGAAAGGATCACGTTATGCTTAACACAAAACTAAAAACTCGAAAATTCCTCACAGCTTGAAAGAGAACAAGAAACTTCTGCGATCCAGAGTGACGTCACCGGTTCAATGCCGTGGATCCATTATGATCGCGTTCGTTCAGGACGCCGAATGAATAGAATGATAATAAAATAATAAAGAATAGAAAGATAAATAATTTACTCGATTTTGACCATATATGCAAATTAAACTCAGAGCATCAAAGTTATTTACGGCAATGTGGCAACGTGCGCCGCTAGGACTCGTGCAGAAAAGAAAGTTTACCATATGCTATTGGCAATTAGCTTTGAGGTTTCGAATATAATTTCTCTGGGAAATGCGTTGGAAACGATGGACGATGTCGACCGGACTCGAAACCACAACCACAAGACCAGCTCCTCTAAACGTCTACGTGCGCACTCCGTCCAATCACCCTAGAGTTCTGAAGCATGGAAAGGAATGGGAGAAATACGGTGGATCGATTTCCCTTCAAAGGTGCTGATTGACTCGTTTAGTACGCATGAATGTTAGGGGGAAATTAACATAAAATCTTACATGAAATGAATGTGAACATGCGGTTGGGATGTAAACGGGAATGTTAATTTTACGTAAAACTTACGTTAATTTATATCACCGTTTGCGTATCACAGAGGTGACATTTCTGGAAACATGATATTATCTTGACGATGGTTTGCGTAAAAATGATAAAAATGGACAAAAAACTTACATTCACTTGACGTAAAATTAACATAAACATGCTGCTTGGGCAGTCACCATTCACTCCTATGGGATTTCCCCCGATTTTTCAACTCAGCTTCCTTCTAAATACTAATTCGCAGAAAAACAGCCCCGACACAGCAAGCACAAAAGGTTTAGCGAAGAACCAGTAGGCCCTATTGAGTCGTTCCAAGACTACATTTTATCATGAATATGGGTCCAATACTTCATTTT